GGCAGACTATAGGCATGATGAATATGTAAAGTGGACAGTGTGGTGGAAGGTGATAGTTTCTACGGAAAACAGGAAAAGTGTAGGAGGAGAGGGGTTGGTTTAGTGTAAGTGGGGGCTGTATGGGGCTATGAATGGCTGCTCAGAGGGGTCTCCCTGAGAAGATGAGTTGTGAGCACACACTTAAAGAAAGTGGGGGAGTTAGCCAAACAAATACCTTGGGGAAGAGGGTCACAGATGGAGGGAACAGCCACAGCGAGGGCCTGAGGCTGGAGTGTGCCAGAAGGTTCAGGAAACAGCAGGGTGTCCAGGGTGGCTTCCATGGAGGGGGTGCTGGGCACTCAGGTGAGAGAAGGTCAGGGAGGGAAGGGGAGCCCCTATCCCTCCTGCGTCACACTCCAGCACTCAGAGCTGCTCAGGTTCCCTGAGGGCCCTGCTGCCTCCCATCTGCCCGCTTCGCCCAAGCTGGTCCCTGTACCTGGGCGCTCTCCCCAGCAATGCCTGGCTACTCCCTAGCCTGGAGGTCTCTGCTGAAATGCCATCAAGGTCTTGATCATGTGCTGCCCTGGCTCCTGGAACCTCCCTTATACTAATCTTCTCCACTAAATTAGGGTCATTTGAGCCAGCCTGTCTCTTCCAGCAGGCTGGACTTGCCTCGAGTTGGCAGATGTCTCCCCAGGGCCTAGTCCAGACCTGGGCGTGGATTGGATGCCCAGTAATGATTTATTGAAAGGTGCATGAAGTGAATGGATGAATGAATGAATGCACCCTCCAGGTAGCTCTGGGCTGGAGGGGGAAACTGGATGATTCCATAGAGAGCCAGCCAGGCCAGAACCAAGGGATGCCCACTGCTGCCTGCCCAGGGATTATGGGGCTGGACAGAAGGGCCTAGGCTCCTGACATTTCCCCAGTGTGCTCCCATTTTGAGCTCTGTCACCAGAGAGGGCACTGAGGAGGGAGGCTCTTTGGGACTGGCCAACCTCTTTTGTAGTTTTTAACAAAGGGATTAAGGGGAGAAATAACTTTATCTGTGGAAGAAAATTCCAGGACATAGAAAAAGATCTTCTGCAGAGGTCTTGAAGAGGACCTAAGCTTCTTCTCACATCTCCGTACACAGACCCATGGAGTGGGGCTGGGTCCCAAGGGCAACATCAGCAATACAAAGCCAGAATTTTATAAGGAGCAGCTCCCAGACCTAGAGTTCAAAGAATTGTCCCTTGTACACCCACCAGCTCCCCTTGCATGAAAGACTTGTTAGAAAATCAGGCCAACCTGTGTGTAGTAGAGTCTCAGTGACAAAGGCAGAGGCCTCTGTCCCTTCATGACCAGAGCTTGGTGAGCAAGAAGACACTCCACCTGCGTGCGACCACTTACGAAGACAGAGCTGATTTGAAAAGCTGCCTGGATCTTTGCTGACGTGTTGCTGGTAATTGATAGTCTTTCCCAAGGACTGCTGAGAAATGCAGCCAGTCCTCATTTGTTCACACTGTATAGGGATTGGATGTTGGTTAGTGAAAGCCCGCTCAGTTTCCAGGGGAAACGCTATTGTCCATTGTACAATATACCCAACTATGGATGAATACACCTTGATGTTGGCAGAAGCCAAAAGCATTTGCATTTCTCTTATCCTTCCTGTGGCTGCCTCCCGCTTCCTTCTCGTGCTCCAGTCGTGAGAAAAATCTTTTAGGGTTTGTCCTTGGTGACCATCAACGAGCCTATCCCCCAAATCCCCTCTTCTC